GTGAGGAAAGATCTAAAATGGTTTGGTTTCCAGGTAATAAGGAAGAATTATTTAAAAACAGGAGGTCACGGTTTGATCCCCAGTCAGGGCACATGCCCAGGTTGGGGGCTCAATCCCCAATGTAGGGTGTGCAGGAAGCAGCCGATCAATGATTCTCTTCCATTATTGATGTTTCTCTCTCTCTCTCTCTCTCTCTCTCTCTCTCTCTCTCATCAATAAAAATATATTTAAAAAATAAAACTAGACATCTTTTACTCATGAGTGGAGTCTATTTTAAATAGCCCAATAGCCAACCTTTCTCCTTTGAAGCAAGTAGTGCTGCGTGCTTCGCTCTCCTCTTCCTAGATAGAAGGCTTGGTCCCCATCGTCACCACCATATCCCCAGTCCACTGCAAAGTGCCAGGCGCTTACTCAGGGCTCCATACACTGGTGGATTGCACTGCTCAATTACCCTTTCACCTTCTTAGAACAGAAATGCGTTCTTTTTCACGTTCCATAGGTTGAACTTCAAGAAATTAATCCACTGCACCTCTTCTACTGCAACCTCCAACAGAATAAGTGAGGTTGTCTAAATGCAGTCCAGCCATGCGATGCAGGTGAGCAATCTGGAACATTTGAGGGTAATACCTGCAGGACTAGGTAGGGGTCCACATTCCGTGCCCGTGCTGGCTGAGGACTCCCCCATTGAGATCAAAATCACACAGCACCACAGAAGTCCAAGTCAAATCCCCCCAAATCTAAACAGCAGTCCCAGCCCGCTTGACTAAAACTATGCTGGGCATCACCTATCAGCTGACTGCAGTCACTGTCGCTAGTTCAAGACATTGTAGGGCTGCCAAGGACACTGTCACATTACTAAACCTTTACATCGCACAGCACTTTCCACAACACTTTTCCACTCAACTCTTCATTTATTTATTTATTTACTTGTTTGTTTGTTTATCTATTTATTTCAGAGAGGAAGGGAGTGGGAAAGAGAGAGAGAAACATCAATGATGAGAGAGAATCACTAGTCTGCTGCCTCCTACACGGCCCACACTGGGGATCGAGCCCACAACCTGGGCGTGTGCCCCGACTGGGAATTGAACCATGACTTCCTGGGCGTGTGCCCTGACTGGGAGTTGAACCATGACTTCCTGGGTCATAGGTCGACACTCAACCACTGAGCCACGCCCACTGGACCATCCTGAACTCTTTACACCTGTCAGAGCAGTGGTTCTCACGAGAGAGTGACAGTGCTCCCTCACAGAGCACCCGGCAATGTCTGGAGACATTCTGGTTGTCACAACGGGGGTGGGGGAGGGAGGGGGATGCTACTAGCATCTAGTGGGTGGAGGCCAGATTGCTCTAGACATCCTACAACACGCGGACAGCCCCATCGCCAAGACGGGCCCAGCCCAGAAGGTCAATAGGGCTGAGATGGAGAACTCCAGCCTTAGAGCCACAGCTACGGGGAAGAGACACGTTGTGCTGACTAGAGAACATGACGATAAACAAGAGTTGGCGTCTGCGACTGTGGGCAGTTCATCCGTGATGGGACAGGCAGACTCCAGGACAGTGGGCCGGGATCAGCGCTGGGACAGAGGGGTGTGCGGAGACTACCGAGAGCAGAAGCCATACTTCAAGCGGAGGTCAGAGTCCTGCCCCAGTGCTGACTTTCCGAGGGGATTTGAAAGATTTCATCAGTAGGAGAGAGCAGTGCATGCTGGAGAAAGCACGTGCGAGAGCGAGCGGTGACTCCGGGCCATCGGCAGGTGTGCAAGGGCTGCCAGAGCCAGAGGCCAAACCCAGTGCATCTCCCTAAAGGGCCGGTTCCACGAGCATGGGAGACGGTTAGCAATTTTCCAGGTAGTGATTTCCAAGGCTTTTTTTTTTTAATATCAAAAACACCGATATATTGAGCAGAATATAACTTGGTGTGAATTTTTAAAATAACACAAGAACCTGCCCTGGGCGGTGTGGCTCATTTGGTTGAGTGTTGTCTCATGCACCAAAAGGTCACAGGTTCGATTCCCAGCTGGGGCGTGTCCAGGGTTGTGGGCTCGATCCCCAATAAGAGGTATGCAGGAGGCAGCCCATCGATGTTTCTCTCTCACATCAATGTTTCTCTTTCTCTCTCTCCATCTCCTTTCCTCTCTCTCTAAAATCAATAATAACATTTTTTAAAATACACAAGAAGCCCAGCCGGTGTTCTAAGCGGTTAGCGTCGACCCATGAACCAAGAGGTCAGGGCACATGCCCAGGTTGCGGGCTTGATCTCCAGTAGGGGGCATGCAGGAGGCAACCAAACGATGTTTCTATCTGTCTATCCCTCTACTTGCCTCTCTCCCTAAAAAAAAAAAAAAAAAATCAATAAAAACATTTAAAAAAAAATAACACAAGATACTTTGGTAACCTCACAAAGTACAAGGGTACTAGTTAGCTTTCTCCCACTTCAGGAATATTTTGGTGAAGTCTGAACAATGGCCAATGTTCCAAATAATTAATGCCATGTGTTTGGAGCACAGAGCAGGTGCAGGTAGAGGGGGCAGATGGCTCTGGTGGGAGGTCAGGTGGACAGTCATGCTACAGAGTCTGTGCTTCCGACAGACTGGGTGTGGGAAGGGGGCGGAGACGACTGGAGGGTTACATGGGAGGAGATGGCCTGCAGTAGGGCTGGAGCAGCAGGGGGCAGGAGAAAAGTCATGACACATGACAACTTAAAGTATCTCAGATGAGAGGTGAGGGAAGTCTCAACAAGGCCCTGGCACAAAGGAGGACGGTTTTCGACGTGGAGGCAGTGGGACCCACAGGCTCAAACATGAGAGAAGAAACTTTTCAGGTTAGGCAACTAGGTGGACGAGCAATGGGCACAGAAAACGGGGAGAGAGCTCTGTTTACAGCAGGAGTAGAGATGATGTCATGTGAACCTCCAGGCAGCCCTGTGAATGACGGAAGATGTGTCCACACGATCATGTCGCATTGACAGAAGAGTCTGATGGAGCTCGGGGAGCGCAGGCCTCGCCAGGATCGCGCATCCGGCATCAAAGAACAGGCCTTGGGGCTCAGGGCTCTCGGCCTCTGATCTGGGTTCTTTCCACTCTTGCCCTCTCTCCAGTCACATGTCATAGTTATAATCAGGCCTGATCATCATGTTCGGGCCAAATTTCCATCGTCCTTAAAAGCCTGGATAAAACTCTGAGTTGGTGATATTAAGTTAGGAGCTTGTCCTCCTCCAGGCAAAGCCCATTCTGACTTCCATGTACGTAAATCCAAGAGGCAATTCATTGTGACTAATTGTGAAATCAGGACAAATGATTGAAAGTTCTTTTCCTAAACTGCTCTTTATTCAGTCCCTGTGTATGATCAGAATAATTCAAAATAATTATTTTTTATAACTTCATGAGCTATCACATTGGAATAAATCAAATTTCTAGCAACAGCCTCAGCACCTGCATACATCCCTACAGGTAGGCACTGAAATGGCCTGGGTGTGCACTGTAAGCACCAATGCAGGCACAGAACCGGTTTATGATCAGTTCACTTAAAATGCAGTATCGCTTTTTCTCCCGATGCACTTCTACCTGGAGTATTCACTACGAAATCCCTACAAATGTGTATGATGCAAAGACCACCTCTCTCTCTGCGAGACAGGGGAAGGGCTCAATAAATACATATAAATAAAGATGGGTCTGACATGGTTGACTCACTTCATTCACCAACCTGTGCAATGGTTTCAAGAGCAGATCAAGAAGACCAGTGCCCCTCCCTTTCTGTCTAGCTGCCTACTACTCAGATGCATGCCTCCCTGATATTTTGGGAGCAAAAACATGAATAGTATGATTTGTCTCAGAGGGTCTAAATACTAAAACACACCCGAAGACACACACAAAAATTGTTCACTCCAACAATATGATGTCTCCATCATAACAGCTGATACTGTTCATAGAACATCATTGAACACCATGTAGCAGGCCAAAATAGTTCTCACTCTATGACTTAGAACTATTTCTATCCTGGTTTTGCTTACAAAGAAATAGGCTCATAAAGGCGAGGTCATAGAGGCCATAAGCCAAGACATGAATCTAGATCCATCTGCCTCCAGAAGGCGCGCTCTTAACCACCAGGCTCCCTGCTTCTCCCCAAGACTCCATCATCCGAGAACACAGCTCCGGTTCTACGGTTCGCATCACCTTCCCGTGAACTTCACAAACAGGTAAACAACCTGTTGTCTTACACCAAGTGTAGCAACTCACACCAGGAAGTGGATTTCCAGGAGTAGCTTTAACTAATGTCAACCTGAGTTCATGTCGCCACGGTTCCAAGCCACTGCCTCTGGCCATCAACATGTTATCCCATCGTTCAAAAGAGTGGGGCCTTGCCCATGGACACAAATGGACAAGCAGCCCTTTTCTCTGCTGCTTCTCCCTTGGATCCTCTCAGTCTCTTGTTTTGGTCCATGACCAGGTCACTAAAAATGCAGCATCACTTTTTCTCCCAGTGCACTTCCACCTGGTGAATTCACTACAAAATCCCGACAAATGTGTATGATGCAAAGATCACCTCTCTCTGCTAGACAATAAATAAATAGAAATAAATTAAGGTGGGTCGGGCGTGGCTAACTCATTCCACTGAGCAGGTAAGGCAGTGATTTGGAACCTGACCTTCGGCAGGTGATGCTCAGCGTGTCACTTAACCAGCCGACCAAGCTCAGGCAGGTCGAGTGCTTCTCCCTGGATTTCTTCATCTATAAAATGGAGACACTGATACCTACCTTCTAGAATACAAATGAAAAGATAAAGATTGTAGATGTAGAAGGCTTTAATACACTCCCACTACATCAAAGCTTTCAGTGACTGGTATCTTCTGTGCTACAACCAAAAGCACCACAATCTCCATAGTTTTCCAACCAAAATGCAGTGGACTCTATAAATAAAACACAGCTGTCGAAGCCGGTGTGCCCTCCCGCGGGATGGTCCCCCATGGCGTTCCCCGTTCCCCGGACCCCCCGGAATACTGACCTGGGAGAGAGGGCATTCTTTGGCTAGTGTGCTCTGGTTCATCTCTTTGAGCAGTTCCTTTAAGGCATTGCGGACGGTGGCGTGGTTCCACTGCTCCGCGGGCAGGTCTTCCAACTTCGAGCAACTGGAAAACACAGCAAGAAGGAATAGGCAAACCTTAATGAAGGGCCTGACTGCAGAGGTATGGGTCCCTCCCGGCCCCATGGCAGCACTAGAAAAACTGCTAAAGGCCCGGCCTGCGTGGCTCAGTGGTTGAGCGTCGACCTATGAATTAGGAAGTCATGGTTTGATTCCTGGTCAGGGCACAGGCCAGGGTGCAGGCTGGATTCTCAGTAGGGGGTGTGCAGGAGACAGCCAGTCAATGATTCTCTCTCATCATTGATGTCTCTATGTCTCTCTCCCTCTCCCTTCCTCTTTGAAATCAATAAAAATATGTATATTTTTAAAAGTAAAACTGCTAAAGAACGCAACCCAGTGTGGGCTCCAAATAGGGAAGAGGAGCAGAAAACGGCTTCTCTGGGCCCCTGACAGAACCCAGCAGTTGCTCACACCAGCCTGAGAAAAAAAGCCCCTTTGGACTTTCGCTAATTTTTAAAAATAAGATTTCCCTCATCTGCTGAAGGAAGTGGTGTGGCCGTGGGAGTATAAACTTCCAGGATACAAATGGAATTACTGGGCCTCCCTAAGGCTAAAGCGATGCTCCATCAGACTTGAAGTTTAAAGGCCCAACCTTCACTCTCACAGAACGATGCGGAGATGTGGCTTTCCTCCCCGAAACAGAACTTTTAAGAGAAGACACCAAAGCTATCCGTGCTCCTGTCAGAGCACAAGTTCTCCGAAAGCGGCAAATCCAAAGCCTTCACACTACAGGACGAGGCTGAAATCACGTGACTCGCAGGCATGCACAGGAGCAGGCTCTGCAGAGTGCCTCTAGAGCAGGGGTCCTCAAACTTTTTAAACAGGGGGCCAGTTCACTCTCCCTCAGACCGTTGGAGGGCCGGACTATAGTTTAAAAAAAAACAAACTATGAACAAATTCCTATGCACACTGCACATATCTTATTTTGAAGTAAAAAAAAACAAAACGGGAACAAATACAATATTTGTATTTGCATGTGGCCCGCGGGCTGTAGTTTGAGGACCCCTGCTCTAGAGTCTTTGAAAGAGGCACCATTTGTTCTGGATGCTGTATGGAGGCGGGGGGAGCGGGAGACAGTCACCATTCCCAGAATCTCTGCAGCCCGTCAGAGAGAAGAAGAGGGGAAGAGGCGTCCAGGGCCGGTGATGTTTAGTAAGTCTCTCCCACGGCAGAACGCTCACCCCTCAGCACACAAACCTGAGACCGAGGAGGTATTTCATCCTCCAAGCCTACGTGCTGAGCGTTTCCCAGGAGGACCCATGGGAGCAGGGCGGCGGGAAGCCCCCTTATGAGCCGCAGATCTGTAATGATTTGTCAGCTTCCCTTCCCCCGGGTTACCACTCCGCTGCTTCTGAAAACAAACCCTAACCCGGCTGGAATGTGGAGGATAAAGATGCCTGGGGAAGGCCCCTCCTCGCCTGTTCTCTCTCTCTCTCTCTTTTTTTTTTTTTCCCAGTTCACCCAATGTCTAGACACTCGCACAGACGGACATGCTGGGCTCCGGGGTGACTCCTTGACGGACGGACGGGACAGGAGGGCAGACGTGCAGACCCACCTCTGCAGCTGGATCTTCAGCGTCACGACGTGATAGACATCCTGCAGCATGTCGGCCACCGTGGCGTCGGGGGCATCGGTCACGTAGCTGAGCGGGAGCGGGTTCCACCTCCCCAGCTTGATTATTCCTGCGCAGGGAAGAAAAACATCATAAACACCTAGCTGCCATTTATTAAACCTGCCCGCTGTTTGTTCACGGTTAAGAAGGTCACTCCATAGTCAACAGGCAAGGCCCCACTCGGAGAAATTTTACAACCCAGGGCAATAACCCATTTCGTTCCGGCCGACGGTGGAGTGAGCTAACTCTACGGGGAAGAGGAGAAGAAAGGGATGAGGTTCAATCACGGACAATCGGTTATTTCATGTTTTCCTGTTTCTTAAATTACTTAGCAAACCATAAGGACACTTCCTTCCCCCAAAGTCTCGATTCACACTCTAACTTAAGCCGGATGCTAAATATACCAGACTGCTGATTTCATAGACCAGAAAAGAAAAAAAAGAAAAAAAGCAAGCCTTAAGTAAATAGGAGATCTGGTCTGGAATTGTACAAGAAAATTCCTGCGTGTGGGCTCGGCACAGACACCGTCACATCCTGACTGTGGTGTGAGCCCAGGGTGAGCGGCGCTCGGAGCTGACGGAGCAGTTCGAGTTCATGCCCAGATTGCATTGCCCCGGGCAGAGGGGGTGTTCGCCAGCGGCACAGGGGCTGACCACAGATCGAAAATAGCAGACGTGCCTTCAACTTCCTTCTTTTCTAATTCCTCAGCTCTTTTTATCTTTTTTTTTAATATTTTTTAAAATATATTTTTATTGATTTCAGAGAGGAAGGGAGGAGAGAGAGATAGAAATATCAATGATGAGAGAGAATCATTGATCCGCTGTCTCCTGCACGCCCCCTACTGGGGATCGAGCCTACAACCCAGACATGTGCCCTGACCGGGAATGGAACCATGACCTCCTGGTTCATAGGTCGACGCTCAACCACTGAGCCAGCCGGCCAGGCTCCTCAGCTCTTTCTAGAGTGACAATGGTCCCCTTTCCCTGTGGGTTCCCACGGCAGATGGCACACACATGACAATGGAGAGAGAATAAAATCCTGGTCAAGCTCAGGCTTCATAGAGCAGTGATGTTAGGGATACCTCAGGAGAGTTCATGAGACAGCTTCGGCAGCATGTCCAGAAAATGCTAACTTCCTCTTAAGCTGGACCCATCTTCTCTGGGCACACATAACATTAAAGAGGAAAAATAAAGAGAAACTCATTTCACAAACACAGAGTAATGAAAATTTTATTTGTGTGCTATGAAAAATCAAATGGTCCCAGGCCGTTAGAAATTCTCTCTCTCTCTCTCTCTCTCTCTCTCTCTCTCTCTCTCATTAGTGATAGAAGTAACACAGCGTTTTTGTTTTTAGTTTTGACAATACAGGTAAGTCCAACTACACTGTTCTTTTAAAAAATACTTTTGTTATCATCAGAGAGAGAGGACACCTACATACTCAAGTGAATGTTTAAAAGCTTCACAAAATAACGCCTTCTAGCTATGGGGTGAAATCCCAATAATAGGAGGTGAACTCCCTGGTCAGGCCATGTCCTGTCCAAGATGAAGTAAATGAGTGCGCAATGCTTGACATAATGCTTGAAAACAGGGGGTAAACAGAACAAAAATATTAAAATGATGCACTGTTTCAGTATTAAGCTTGAACAATCTGGTGCTGAATATGCTGCAGTATAAATAGTGCCTGGACTCGGTTCCAATAAAGGAACACAGCTCTCATTCATGGTACCGTATGTCTCCAGTGCTGGCTCCTTCAGTCATGTTCCACTTGCCAAGAAAAGCTGTTTTCTTGTGGGGACGGTTGTGCTAACATTCCCTCTCATGACAATGAAAAGTGCACAGCACGCAGCACGCAGGAGCCATGAAATGCGCATCCGGGCCCGCCGGACAGCCACCCAAGCGAGGCGGGGGCTGCCTCCGTGCTTCTTCTACTCCTGACGCGTGAACATACTAAGGAGATACCATGTCACATGTCTAACATATTTCCTTTTAAAAAAGAACCACTCCACCGTTTTAAATTCCTTTAACAGTCATGACCGTGGTAGCCCTTCGGTTGAGTATAAACTGGCCACGTTCTAACGACATGACATTTCATTGTCAGAGGTGAGAGGGGGGTGAAAACGAAGCTGGCAGTCAGGCACGATGAAAGGCAAGTAGCAGAAGCTGATTCTGTGGGTCACTTTGGTTACTACAGATGCAAAGATAATACGAGGCGAATGAATCCTGAGGAGTGCAATGTACAAGCCTAGAAGAGATGCATCTATGCTGTTGTGTGTGTCCTTGTCCACTCCTTTTTACTGAAGAGGGTTCCACTGTAAGAATAAACCACGCCCGGCCGGCGGGCTCAGTGGTTGAGCATCGACCTATGAACCAGGAGGTCATGGTTCGATTCCTGATCAGGACACATGCCCGGGTTGTAGACTCAATCCCCAGTGTGGAGTGTGAGGAGGCAGCCAATCAATGGTTCTGTCTCATCATGGATGTTTCTCTCTTTCTCTCTCTCTCTCTCTCTCTCTCTCTCTCTTTCTCTCTCTTTCTCTCTCTCTCTCTCTCTCTCTCCCTCTCCATTCCTTTCTGAAATCAATAAAAAATATATCTTTTTAAAAAGAATAAACAACGATGCAGCCAGAAACAACACACTATTTCTGTATGATTTCATTTAAATAAAATGCAAAACAGGCCAGACTCATCTAAGAGCTCAACCTCAGAAAGTGGTTGCCTGGGTGGCAGGGGCAATTGACTGGGAAAGGACAGAAGAGAATTCTCTTCTTTTGGTTGGTGGTTGCATGGGTATAAAAGTTGTCAAATTTCATAAAACCCAACAATATGCATACATTTTATTGTATGTAAATTATACCTCAAAAAAAAAGGTGAAGGGGGAGGAAATGATAGACAAATCACTCTACTGAAAATAGTAGCCTCCATTTAGGTAAATTCTCTCCCCACACTGGGAGCCAGAAGGAGACTTGTTTGGGCTGGAATTAGACACACACAGGTGTCCTCACAACACGCAATGCCTCCGCCGAGAGCAGCTGCTACAGGTTGGTCTCTGCCTTAGACGAGAGCTGCTGACGGAAGAGCTATTTTCAGGCGATGGGGAGTGGCGTGTGCGCCCTGCTGACTAACTCCCCAGTCCTGGGAGCCTGTCCTGTGCTCCACTGTGTCCCAGGCTCTGCAGGTGGCGGATCTGCTAGGACAGCCGTGTCCAGGAGGCTGTTCCCACAGCCGGTGCTAGGCACTCAGACCAACGCAACCCTCTGAAATACATGCCTTAGCTACAGTCTTCCTTCTCTGATATAAAATAGACAAAAATATGATTTGGACTAGGAGTCAAGTGTTAATTGAGGAAATCAAATTGGGATTTTATATAAGTCCAGTCCTCCTCTGTGACTTATAATAATGAAGACGTAAAAATATCCTTGTGTCAATATTTTTTTTAAATAAATGGACTCTGCTTTTTAAGAAGTATCCAAACTTCTTAATAGATGCGTCTCTTCTATTGTTCAGTTGTACATTGAACTCTGCAGGATAAGTTCAAAAATCAAGTTGGGAAGCAGGATAGCACAATAACTAAGAACACAAGCTACCAAGTCTAACTGCCTCCGTTCACATCCAGGCCCCTCCACCTGCTAAATGTGTGGACTCAGCAAGTTACTTAATTTCTCCATGCCTCAACCTTCTCACCTGTAAAACGGAACAATAAAAGTACGGACCTCCTAGGATTCTACTGCAGAGTAAACGGAAAGCCTTTAGCACAGAGCCTGGATGTAATTAATCTCAACAATTGTTGACAGTCATTATTCAGATGATTTTAATACTTCTTAAAAAGAAGATAGAGTCCACTTATTTAAATAGATATTGACTCGAGGATATTTTTCCATCTTGGTTACCTTTCCCTTTTTAATCTGGTCTTGCGCCTGTAAAAGGCCTCGTTATTGTAAGTCACAGAGGAGGACTGGGCTTCAATCATGTCCCTCCTCTACCCCCACCCTCTTCTATGCCTCCACCCTTACTCCTCAAGGTCTCCTTTCCTTTCACCCGAGTAGATTCAGATCTCCCTCCTCTAACAATAGCACTTCCACACTCTCTTTCCCCTCATTGCTGCACCACCAAGTGTACTGACAGTGCACCTCCAACTTCTCCCTCAGACCTTCGCCACTAGGTATCTAGTTTCAACACTTTCATGGGGAAATGGGAAATTTGAAGGAACAAAGCCCAGATTCCCTTCGATTACCACATGCTTGCTCTCCTCAGTATCCTCTACATCACAGTGGCCCATGTGTGAGGCACACCGGAAGAGAAGACTGGGAGAGAGCGTGGTTCCAGGCCTGCCAGGCCGTGAAGGCCCGGCTCAGCAGCACGCTGCATGGGTCAGAGGTCAGGAGCAGAGCCTAGAGTCAGAGGTGCATGTAGGTCCCACCTCATCTGCTTTCAGCTGTGAGACTCTGAACAGGCTGTTCATCTCACTGAGTCTCATTTTCCCTCATCTACAAAATGGGATCATAACGACATCTACCCCATAGGGCTGCCAGGAGGCTTTGGATGAGAATTAGAATTTAGGGCTGGGGCTGGCACACAAGTGCTCAGTCAACCTCAGGGGAAATGGATCCTTGGAAGTCTGGGGTTTGGGTGTAATTTAGGAAAATGAACCTATACTGGAATGCAGATGGATCGAAAGAGGGACGTATTTTGAGGGAAGAAAAAAAGAGCTGCAGTAATATAGATAGGTGTGTCTAATTATAGCCTCTCCCTGGCTCTCTCTAAGGAGGGAGACCAACCCCAGCAAATGCTACTGCCCACCGGCGGAGGACGAAGAAGAAAGGATCCCCTGTAGATACTGGCTCACAGCCCTGGAAAAATCCCAATAAAAATGGCATAACTATAAATATACAGATACATGTCCAGTGCTCACACTCTATGAATAGGTTTTGAAACCCCAATCCGGAAAATGAGAAAAACGAATTATGATTAAATTAGATTGTATTGTGTTCACATAGGTGTACACATACACACACACCACACCTTGAGCCCAGCCAGGCACACGGGGAATGCTCAATAGATGCCAATTCCTGTT